GACGGTGAGAACAGGGAACCAGGAGGAGAAGCTTCTGCAAGCGAGCAGCAGCATCCGCGCCTGCAACCTGCGCCCCGGGCACCCCTCTGCTGCCCGCGCCCGCTCCGGCCCCGCCGCCAGCCGTAATTAGCCCGAGCGCTCATTAGGGCCGCCACCGCGCTTGGTTGGTGTCCGAGCGCCCTCTACTGGCGCGGGCCGCCGATTTGGGCGGAGGGGGGGAGCCCGCGGTGGGAGAGCAGGGAAAGGAGGGGGAGAAGAAAAAGAGGGGGAAGGAAAGGGAGAAGGAGAGAAGAGGGGAGAGGGAAAAGAAGGGGAATGGAAGTGAGGGGAAAAGGAAAAGGAGAATGGGGGAAAAAGAGAGGGAAGGGAAAGAAGAAGAAGGGTGAAGGGAAAAGAGAGGGAAAGGAAAGGAGAGAGAACAAAAGGGGGTGGGGGGGAGGAAGGGAAGGAAAAGGAAGGAAGAGGGGAAGGGAAGTGGGACTGCCTTTACGCTACGCATTGGTGTATGTGGGTAGAATCCTGTACTGTGTGTAGGATGTTGCTGAGCACTCAAAACATGGTCAGGTTTCCAAGAATCCCTCCCACCCCTTCCCCACTCATTGTAAATCTTCCCTTTTTTTTGGCTGTGTTGTTTAGTGTCCAGGTTGAATTATCTTGCATCCTTTCTATTGCCACCTTCTGTGATGGTGCATGGAGACAGGCGGTAGCATGGGTTTATCCGTTAGTCTTGCTCTGTCCCTGTGAAGGAAACATCATTCTGAGCTATCATTTCTCATCTCCCAAGTACCTGATTCTAACAGTGTTGCTGCAGATACTGCCCAGACCAGTTAATCTGAGGAATTTAATGCTGGTTATATATTGGCATATATGGAGATTCTTCAGGAGCAGCTTTATAATTGATTTCTTGGCTGAGAAGAAATATTGTATGTGTCACACTGTATTTACACTATGACCATTATTAGAGGATGCATAACTTATAAAGGCACAGTAGCTAGAATAATGGTCTGGCAGTGAAAGTAATGATCTTGCAGAACAGTCTGAGTATAAGCATAATTCTTATTCACTTAAATACCTTCTGCTATGTTCAATGAGCTGTAATCCAGTGAAGGCTTTCTTTTTTCCCCCCTTCAACCAGTTCTGCAAGGGATTCTACAGCCTCTTATAAGGGGTGAATTCCAGCAAGAGAGGAACTGGGTGAAGGACCACAGTAATTTGCCACAGGGACCAGCAAAGACTGAGAGCATCAGGGAAAGGAACAACTTCTACATAGCTGCAAAAAAGTACCTGTATGGCCAGAAAAGGGAATTACTCTGTTCTCGGCTGTCACACATGCAGGAGATTCAAGGGAGCCGAGTTGAATGAGGCAGGAGGGTTCTTTAGAGTCAGAGCAGCCTTTGCCCTTGTTTAGCTCTCAGGTCATTTAACATACTGGCCGCTACTATGTGGAGTCTGCTCCCAACCTTGTTTCACTCACCCAGAGATCCCGGGAGAAGTCAGTAGTTGTGTAAGACTGGAGATGCTGTGTGGTATGCAAGGGAGTGGGAAAAAAAGCAAACCTTTGGCTTATGGGCCACAGAGTTGACATAGACTGAGGTTGTGGGCCAGCCACAATTGTCTTGGGACTGCTGTTCTCTTCTGCTGGCACGTCATCTGCCTGCAACAATGTGCTGACTGAGCCTGCTTGTCTATTGTAGCGCCTATCCTACCACTTCTTTTCCCCGTGGAGCATTTCTTTATTTCAGTTGTGGATCATAGCAGCTAGTCTTGTTTCTGTCCCTCTTCACTCTAGGCAGGAACAGAAGGCAACAGGTTTTTTCACAAGCGCAGATACCACCTTAGGGTGTGGAAATGCACTCTTCAGGATCCTTGCTGCTGAGACCTGTGAGTCTCTCTTTAGTATTCGTGAAGTTCATGTCAGCATTGTTATTTAAGCTTTGGTTGTGGTATTTAATAGCACAGAGGAGGCTCACTCAGATAGCCCTCCTCTCCCAACCACCAGACTACACGGTGTGTGTTGCAGTGCTGTTGTAGTACCCCACATACCGTAGAAACTTGCAAAAGTTAGGAGTAGTATGTCTTCCTAGGAAAGATGGTAGGGAGAAGTTAGAGATGAGTGTGTTTTAGTCAGTGAGCTCTCTGCAAACAGAGATTTGGTAACGATGAAAAAGAAGCATTCTTTGAGAAGGGTTTCAAAGCACTTGTGGGACTGGCAAGTGCAGCTAGCAACCAAGATGCCTATGGGTAAAAATGTGTATCAAAAGACAAATAAAAAGAATAGCTTTAAAGAATTAAAGCTTTGGCTTCGTTTCCTGTCCTTCCTTAGGAAAGGATATAAACTAGCAGCTAAATGTTCTCAGCATCAGCAAAAACTCTAGTGCTGTCAGAAAGATCAGAGATGTGTTAAACTTCTGCAGATGCAAATTGAAGTCGTATCAGATCTGATCACTGAAGGAGCTGCATGCCCTGAAATTCCATATGAAGCCATGCCCAGCAGCTCCCAGAATGCCCATTGGGATACAAGGTTCTGCTTATGGTCCAAAACACGGAGCGGCTTGTAAGCATTCATCTTTCAAAAGTAATTTTCTTGCCATTGTAATGAATATGAACAGTCTTATACTGACAGCATGGGATAAAGAAGCGTAGCAGCGCATGTGGCCCCTTGAAGGACCCTTGGGAATAGCTGGTGCCGCTGCATAACAAAACAGTACCCAAATACTGGAAATTAGCTGAGAGCTACAATCCCCAGCTGACAGCCCCAAAGGAGCCGAGAGGACCAGAGGCACCTCTTTTGGAGGGATAGGCTTTCAGAAGGGCTGAGGGACCAAAAGACTGTTGCTAAGTGAAAGAGTTTTTATTCCCCCCTAGATTAACTTTAAAGGGCATTTCTGTTCAGCTTGTTCAAAAAACGTTTAGCACACAGCTATGGCTTTTGTTGTCCTTGGCTAACAGAAAGCAAAACCAACCTCAGCTGTGTACTCAGAAAGAAAATTGTGCTTAACATATGTTTTCCCTCATCATCTCTCTGCTGTTCTTCTAACCTGCTTTGGAGGAGGAATATCTGGAGGCAACCTTAGGTAATGTCATTGTGTATGAAATACTTGCCCTCCCTAGCAGGCATAGCAAGAGTGATACTGGCTGCAGTGGTGCTTTTAGTGGTGATTTCTGTGCTGCAGGAACAGGACTGCAATAACTAAATTCATTTTACTCAGGTCAGGATACAGAAAGTAACTGGCAACAACTTCAAGTCATTAGTGTAATATTTGACACTGCATACTTATTTTTCTAATTCACTGTCATAGCTGTCGCTTATTGCAGCACCTGAGACTGATTTTTCATCAAAGAGAAACTTGGAAGAGTGAACAGATTTTACCTGGAAAAGCCCTAAGAAGAACTACATCACAATGGGCAAACCCGATCCTCCTGGCATTTTGTCACTTCCACGTGGAGAGCAGAGAATTTAAATCAAAACTTACTGAAATAAATGACAGTGAGGGCTCTGATCTCAGCATTTCTGTCTCTTTGGTAAAGATGTGAAAGGAACTTATTTGTATGAGCTGTTTCCTTCATTGCTAGTAAAACCCTAGTCTCTTGACAGTTGCCACCATCTCTTGAGACTCAGCAGGGTGTGAGAGACAAGTATGGGCGTGAGAGCACAAATGTGTCCATGGTGCCCTTCTCACACCCTTTTACCTGTTAGAGCTATTACCTGTTTTATAACAGCAAATCAATATCTCAGCAAAGCTCAGTGTTGCGTTATGCTTCTGCTAAAATAGGGGTGAACATCTTCCTTCTGAACAGCAAGACCCATATTCATTCAGTGCAACCAATGCTGAAGAAGCCATTTCTGTTTGGTGGTGCACTGTGAAGATCCAGTTGGATCCAGTCACACGTCTTTGCTGGCCTTTTGTGCTATGTTTGAGGGAGTGAAGTTGCTACGGACTATGTTTGAGGGAGTGAAGTTGCTACGGACTTTCTCAGCCGTCTTGTTGCCCTGTGAATGTTTTGAGCAACTGATATACCTCACAGGGTGTTCACTCAAGAACTTGAACTGCTGATACTCTTCGCCTTGCACATCATGATTTGATATGCATAAACATTGACACTGTACTAATTGTTTATTGGTTTTGGCTTCTCTTTGAATTTTAGACTAGGAATCATAGTCTAAGAAATAGGTTTTTAGGTCAAATTCTCTCTTGCTTTTCCCATAGTATGTCATTTCATGAACTTGAATCGGGGATTTTTTTCCATTTGTGTTCTTTGGAACTATTGTGTCTTTTAGCTAAGCATATATCCCATGCGCTAACAAAACTTGTCTTTGCCAACTGTTTTCGGTACCTGTGATACAGTGGCTTCCCTGAACTGCTGAAATCAGCATATTTTTCTTTCTGTCACTGTAAGGTTCTGTTAATTTTTTTCTTCCTAAATGCTGAAAATGTGGGGATTTAAATGCTCTTTGCTATTCTGCCCTTATAAAACAGTGGATTTCAGTTAATGCAAAGCTAGAGGGGAGAAATATCTCTCTGTGATAGTTTTCTGACTCTGTGGAATGAAAAGGAATGTACTTATTTTTTAGTTGGTGTAGATTGATTTGTTGCCTTACTAAGCATATAACCTGTCCTGAAATATAACTGTTTTCCTTATCTGTGTTCTAGTTGCAGCTAAAGGCAAAAAAAAGTTTGTAAAATACATTTTCAGTTAGCATGCAGTTAATTTATATAAGTAAAGTATTATGCTCCATCAATAAACCTTGAAACAACTTGCCAAAATTCTCTGTATCAATACAGACATAGTATTCGTGTTCGGTTTAGGAGCAAATGGTGGCTGTGGTGTTGTTGGGAGATTTTTGTATTAATAAATCATTGCCCCTCTTGCACTAAGTACATGTTCCTTTGATAGGTACATAAACAGGAAAGTAGCTTGGTCAAAAAATAATGCTTTTAAAATGAACAGAATTCCTCATGGCTAAAATGTTTGTTTATGTATCCCTGTCCTTCTTACAGGAATATCTTCAGTAAGGCGCAGAACACTGCTGTGTAACTTACCTCAGCTGAAGGCACCCACATAGGTTGGTAAGAATTACTCTCATTCTTGAAGTGGCGTATTTGCTTCAGCACTTCTCCTAATCATACCAGAGAGCACTGCGTGTTGCAGGGCAAAGAGTACCAGTCAGTGACTTGTGAGCATTTCAGGCATGGATTGCATGAGTGACCTCATTCACATGCCAGGATGTGAGCAGAGGCCAGGGAACAGAGAACTGGCAACCGTGGCTGTGGGAGAAAATACCCCAGCAGCGGCTGTTGAGGCTGGAGTCAGCATACTGTTATAGGAATGAACTATGGGCATGCTATGGAGTGTGCTGAAGCAAGGAGATGCCTGAAGGAGTAAAAAGAATTGTTGCTGTAAATCAACTCTTTCTCCTTGGGTTTGATTCCTGGGTAGGTGGTGTCTATTTAAGTTTAGCATATGTCTCTCTATTATACAAAAAAATTGTCTGTGTCTTTCAAGATGATCAAACCTCTTTTGTAAACTAAATCATCAGCCATTATAAATCCATCACTTCCTTCATTCCTCAGGGATCTCTGGTACTGATTTTTGAAAGTGACTTAGGGAAAGATTAATATTGACTTAACTCAGCAGACTTTTTTTTAAATGCCTTATAATTTCCTGGAATTTAGATATTTTCTTTTCCTGAAGGAAGTTCATCAATGACTTTTTTAAATGCATCTGCAGCAGGTCAATCAGTATATACGAATGCTCTGTTTGATGCTGGGCAGATGGCACATGTATGTTCCTCCTCTGCAGTAGTATGTGCAACAAGTATTGCTCTGTTATCGCCTGGTCTGCAAGAAGGGGTTTATGAAACTACAAATGCTTTTGGCGTTAGGCTTCATCCATATTATCAAACTGATTTTTTATAGTAGTGCTTAGCCAATGGAATTTCTTTTGGCAGATGGTTCATTAGAGTTCTTGATTTGTGCCTCTTTGCGTGGCACTTTTGTTCAGATCCCATAGATCCAAGGATTGTGCTGGTTAACCTCTCTGTATGTGATCTATGACATCCATACCCAGAATCTTTTCAACTCATTTCAAAGCTGAGTGAACATTAATCCTAGCATCAGAGATACAGCTGTATTTCTGACCTAGAGGACCGTTGTTTCCTTTGGTCTGATTAACTACAGCATTATTCCAGTTTTGCTCTGGTGTGGATTTATATCAGAGTACAACTTCAGTAATGTGATAAATTAAAACCAGTGTGCCAAAACCTGATTCAGCTGAAGTCAGTGGCAGCAAAATTGTTGACCTCACGTAGCAGAATGACCTGTTTGAAAACAGTTGCAATGTCCTCGTATCTCAACTTCCTCATGGTTTTTTGTGACTGAAAGTGGAAAAAAGCCAGAATTCTTGTTTCGTTCGATATTTTTATTGTTGTTGATGATGTTGGTTGGTTGCTGGCCTTTTTTCTTTTTTTGTTCTAGCTTTCTGTCTGTGCTCAGCAATGTGCTGTTGTGCTGCTTTTCCAAAACACAGTATATATCTGTTACAGTGTCCGGTTCAAAGGATGCAGCTCTGCTGCCAGTGTCTGTTTTGTTATTGTCTGCCCTGCATTCTCTAGGCCTGCAAAAAAATCTGATTTACTGCCTTACTGTTGCCCAACCGTGGGACATTCTTGTGGCTTTAACTGTATGACATATCCTTAAGAATGGTTTTAATTTGATTTTTAAAGCATAATTGATCAAAAGCAGGGAAGTTTACGGGCCCATATGCTTGACCCTTATTTAATGAATAGGAGCTTTTCCTGCTCTGTAAGCCATTTGTTCTTGTTGAGTTTGCTAGCTGGCTTTTCATACTTGAAAGTATTTTTTGAGTGATGTAACATGGACTGTCCTATTTGATAGTGGGGATTTAACACCATTTACCTCAGTGCAGCTCTGACAGTTTTACCAGCTGAGGATTTTGCCCTGATCTCTGCTGCTTTAATTTCACACAGGCACTCTTCCAGCAGCTCTGGTCAAGGTTAAATCAGCTTTTCACAGCAGTCAGAGAAAACATCATTGATTCATTCTATATTCTACATATGAGCCTTTATTTTATTACTGTCTGTTTAGAGATGTCTGTGTCAAGTGCCAAGCAGCTATCTAAACACTATCTCCTTGTAATAGAGTTACACGGTTCCCTTAAAATCATGTTTGAATTCCTTGTTTTAAGGCAGTAAGATGAATCAGCCATACCACAGTGTCCATGGTGGCAAATGAAAGAGAAAGTGGCAGACATGTGACATAGTTCCTGAGATTACTTTACCTTTTATGTGTGTAGCAACCTCACTCATGTAGTCTTTACCCTTTTATTTTGTGAAAGTGCTGTGCAGAATGGCCATCCCATGAAGAGGTGTCATTATATACATGTGAGGAGCCTTCTCTGTAAGGAAAGGTATATAAACTGTCACAGGAAATTATTCATATTCTCCTGCTTTAGTTCTTTCCAACTGAAGTGGGCTTTTACTAGATTGGTAGCTCCAGCTTTGAAGGATTAAAATATCTGCCCCCTCAAAAAAGTCAGGAGTGCTGTGTCTCAGCACATGTATCCCTTAAATACATCATATGTATTTAGGGAATAAGCAGTCAGCTTAAAGATATTCTGCCTAGCTTCTGGGAACCTACAGCTTATGCTGCTATTCCTTATTAACTCACTCTGAAACTTCTGTCATTGATTTAATAGCATAGCAATTCCCATTCTAGTATCATGGTACCTATAGTTACAGTGTTCACACCATGTAATGTACATCATCTTCAGAGGCATCCACTGAATATGGGAAACTCAGATTAATTCCAGCTGTTGTTATTGCTTTTAACCCAGTGAGCTTTTGGGATTTATTCCCACTGTCTCTTATGTTGTGATAGTGCACTGGATAGTGTTGCATGGCATCTTGATTTTACTATAATGAATATGGTGTCCATAATGTAGCAAAAGAAAGTTTGGATCTGACATATGGAAGACTAAGAGAAAGAATAGGAGGGGAGAGAATGTTAAAACTTTTAGAGATTTTGAGAGTCTTTGGCAGTAGTCATTATAGACCTGTTCTATTCAGATCAACCTTGCATGAAAATAAGATTGGCCTCATGTTTACCCTAGCTTGCCTTGACTGAAATGGATCTCCAGCTAACTCCCATTGGTACATCCACAACAGGGAAATAGTTGGATATCCTGCTAAACCATTTTTGTGACCACAGCCTGCGCCAAGATCTGGACTTACTTTTCCAGTTTTGCATATGGGAAACTTTATAGTATGTGAAATATAGAGGGGACACCTGCTTCTGTACAAGTTATGTTAAAGTTCTGCTGGGCTTATGTGAAAAACAAAATGTTCACTACTTCTTCCAGGATCAGTTGAGAGGTTGTGCTTTCGTGTCCTATTGCGCAGTAGGAGTGATAATCCAAGCACATCATTTTTGATTGCTGTTGCTTCATTTTCCACCTGCCTTAAATCTGCTTTGCTGCATACCAATGTCTCAGCAAATGTCAATTCCCAGGAGCCACATCTGCCAGTTTCCTGCCATAACCACCAAACCACACACGAAGGATTCCTCTCAGTACGTGGTGTACTCATTTGGCCTTGGAATCACAGTCCTGTTGCATTTTAGACAGTCACTCAAGTCAGTAAGAGTCAAGGAGAAGTTTGTAATGAAGAAAAGTATATGGTGTCCCTCTGTTTAAACGTAGACCAGGGATATTGTCCCTATGCACAGCAGCAAGGCAAGAAACATTTCTTTGCTGTTGCAAATGAAGAAATCACAATACTGGAAGGGCAAGGGGGGGGGAACACACCCTCAGATAAGACTCTTTTTGAATATCTTTACCTTGCAGTTTTGGTTTGTTGTTTTTTTCTCTTCCCTTACCAACCGGTTATTTTCTACTTTGCCAAATTCCATCAGACTGTGATCAATGGCTTCCAAATGCTGTATTTGTACCTCTGCATGGGCACCTAGCCTTTAAAGGGGGAAGCTACAGTATATGGCCTCCAGCTTTCCCAGATTACAGGTTTCAGACAGGCTCCATAGCTGGTCCTGAAGGAACAGAATCATCAGCGGGAAAGATTCTGTATGCCCAGTGTAGGACTGGGCAGGCCCTCTACAGGGAGGGACTATAGAGAGTATAGCACAATAGTATGTTGCTATACAGAGTATTGGGGTATCTGCTAGATGAAATGTTTTGCACTGACAGTAATTTCCTTCTTTTTGTCCTAATAGCAATGTTCAGCCTGCAACTTTTTTCACTGTAGAATGCCTATGTTAAACCCACTTAATCTGGAACAACCACTAGAAATCTGAATAATGAAAGTCACTGGGGCCTCTGTAAGGAAAAATAATTTTGGGGTATCTTCACATGTTCAATGTATTTACTGCTTTATGTTTCATTTCCATATCAAATCTCTGTTTGAGATTTCCAAGCAAAGCATGAGGCAAATTTGCTCTGTGAATTTGAATATGCTCAGTTCACAAATTCTTGAACTTTAGTTGCTAGGAGTGTCAAAGTTTAAGCCAAGCTGAAGGGCAGCCCAGTTTTGTCATGGTCAGAGCAAAACCTTTGATCTCAAACATCTTTATTTATCCAAGATCCAAACCCTGGCCAAAGCTTCACATCTTTAGCCCATCTCTCATAGTGACATTGACATTCTTTTACCTAGAGGGTGCCACCAAGAAACCACATGTAATGTCCTTAATCCCAAGATATGTTTTTAACTGTAATAGAATTCTAGTGTTGCCAGAGGTAAATAGAAGATATTAGAAGGAATATTGTGGTAGGCTGCATTGTGGTTTTGCTGGACTCATCCTCGAGGCTCAGCTCCAGGCAGAGGTTGTATGTCTGGCTCGTAGCAAAGAAGGGAAGTGCTGCGCCAGCTTGCTGCTGCGCAAAGAATGTGGTTAACTTTGCCTATGTCTGTACTTCTGTCTCTGTGCAGCCTGCTCGTTGTTGAACTGGACGGCTATCATGGAAAGACCACTGATTTTCTTCCCATGTTCTTTAACTGTAGTCACATGTGGCCAAGCTAAACCCCCGCAGCGCAAC